TGTGGAAGTTTAATAATAAACTTAGTTCATCTATACACGGAAAACTGTCAGTTTGTAGTTAAAAATGTGGGATTTCTATTACAATGTGGAAGTTTAATAATAAAACTTGGTTCCTCTACTCACGGAAAACTGTCAGTTTGTAGTTAAAAAATGTGGGATTTCTATTACAGTGTGGAAGTTTAATAATAAAACTTGGTTCCTCTACTCACGAAAAACTGTCAGTTTGCAGTTAAAAATGTGGGATTTCTATTACAATGTGGAAGTTTAATAACAAAACTTGGTTCCTCTACTTACGGAAAACTGTCAGTTTGTAGTTAAAAATGTGGGATTTCTATTACAGTGTGGAAGTTTAATAATAAACTTAGTTCATCTATACACGGAAAACTGTCAGTTTGTAGTTAAAAATGTGGGATTTCTATTACAGTGTGGAAGTTTAATAATAAACTTAGTTCATCTATAACACGGAAAACTATCAGTTTGCAGTTAAAAATGTGGGATTTCTATTACAGTGTGGAAGTTTAATAACAAAACTTGGTTCCTCTACTCACGGAAAACTATCAGTTTGTAGTTAAAAATGTGGGATTTCTATTACAGTGTGGAAGTTTAGTAACAAAACTTGGTTCCTCTACTCACGGAAAACTATCAGTTTGCAGTTAAAAATGTGGGGTTTCTATGACAATTATAGCGTTTCAAATAGACAATATTTTACTACCAAGATCAACAATACATTTCTCCTTCTGATCTTGATGCCTTCAGGTATTATACAGAAAGTGTATAATGAGTAGTTATTTTATGTTCAATTTGTATACATGACGCCTGAAAGTATTCATACTTAAGAGTGAACTAATACAATGAAACTAATCGTGAAAAGTTTGAAGATGTATCACGTTTTCACACAAGATATATGCGTTATAAAAGTAAATACAGAAAAACGTTTACGTACAGTATATATATATATAGAAACATTTCGTTATGATTGTGTACTCAGTAACCACGAAAATGTGTCTAAAGTTTGAACGAAATATATAAATCGTTACTTCGAATAAAGTGGAAAACTGATTCCAGAAATATTAAAATTAATATTATTAATTTGTATCTTCCTCATCTTGTTCCTAGAGTTGGCTCACTGGACACAAATGTTACATTACAAACTCCTTATCTTGAATTATCTTGTTCCTAGAGTTGGCTCACTGGACACAAATGTTACAATTACAAACTCCTCAT